TCTTTGGATATTTTGGAAGCAAGTCTTTTATCCAATATGTGTTTGTAATATTTTCTTCCAGTCTGTGGCCTGTCTTTTTATTCCCTTAACATGCCTTTTGTAGAAAAGTATTTTAAAATTTTTATAAAGTTCAACTTAGCAATTTTTTATTTCATGGATTGTGCTTTGATATTATCTAAAATCTCATTGCTGAACCTAAGGTCACCTAGATATTCTCCTGTATTTTCCTCTTGAAGTTTTATAGTTTTGCATTATCCATTTAGGTCTGTGATTTATGAGTTAAATTTTGTAAAAAGTATGAGGTCTGTAGCTAGGTTGCTTTTTTGTTGTTATTGCATATATACATTCATTTATTCTAGCACTGTTTATTAAAAAGGCTATCCTTGTGCTCCCTTCAGCAGCATATATACTAAAATTGGAATGACACAGAGAAGATTAGTATGGGCCCTGTGCAAAGATGACGTACAAATTTGTGAAGTGTTCCATATTTTTTTATTGGATGGTGCTGGTACAGATCTTTATAAAATAAAGCTACCAAGTAAATGCTTAAAAAAAAGGCTGTCCTTTCTCCATTGAATCGCCTTTGCTACTTTGTCAAAGATTTATTGTATTTGTGTAGGTCTATTTCTGGGCTCATCTGTTCTGTTCCATTGATCTATGTGTCTATTCTTTTGCCAGTACAACATTGTCTTGATTAATGTAGCTTTATAGTAAGCCTTGATATCAGATAGTGTGTCTTTCCGCCTTTTACTTCTTCAATATCATATTGAGTGTTCTAGGTTTTCTTCCTTTCCATACACTCTTTAGAATCAGTTTATTTATATCTAAGAAAACAACTTGCAGGAATTTTAATTGGGATTGCCTCAAAACTATGGATCAAGTTGGAAAGAATTGATGTCTTAACATATCATGTCTTCCAGTCCATGAACACAGACTATGTCTCCATTTACTTAGATGATCTTTGATTTCTTTTTTTTATTACAGGAGCCATGTAAATACCTTTATTTGAAATTTTCCAGGGAACAATCTCCAGTACCTCTAATTGAGACATACTTTTAAACTTAAGACAGGAAAATAATAGACCTTTGATAAAAGTAGTATAAATGGAGTTGTATCTCATAAATGCAATGACTCTTTCTAAGGACTTTGTGCATTCATTAATTTTATGATTATTGATTCAACCTTTAATATCAATAATATGCTCTGTTTTAGGAATTACAAATGTAGTGGGAGAACCAGACAAACCTGGTTCTTACACTCATGGGTGAGATGGACATTGAACAATGAACATGCAAGTAATTATATACTGTTATATTATGATAATTGCCAAGAGGGAAAGGATCTAGGTTCTATTAGAGAAAATTAACAGGTGTGGGGTTAATGTAGGTTGAGATCAGGACTTATCTGAGGTTCTAATATTTAAGCAGAATGCTGAAGGATATATAGGAATTAGCCAGATGAAGAGAGGAAGAGGGAGGGAGAGTATTCCAGGTAGAGAGAATAGCATGTACAATGGCCTAAAATAGTTGGATATCACCTTATATCCCTGGCCAAGCCCATGAACATTATCCCAGATACTTACCATTTCCATTATTTGTTGCTTTCTATCATATCTTAAATTAACTGTATTATACTTGTTCTCTGCCTTATAATTACCAGGTAGATGAAATGTTTTGATTTTCCCCTCTGATTAGGATTTACATATGTTAATATATTAATATGTGAAGATCACAAAGTGATCAAAATGTTCAAAAGGTGAAATTTATTAATAGATAATTATAATAATTTTATGCTGAAAATATATTTTTAAGTATTTCATGGTCATTTAACATTTCGTTTTTATAATTTCATGCTAGGAAAGAAGAGGACAAAAGGAGTTAGAAAGAGCCAAAGACACCAGGTATACGTAGGACTGTAGTATTAAATGTAATTCTCTTGGGCTGGTTCCAACTCTTGGCTACACAATGGAATACTACTCAGCTATAAAAACGAATGAAATACTGCCATTTGCAACAATATCTTCTTCCCCACCCCCCACCCCCGGGTTTTTTTGGTATATATACACAATGGAATATTACTCAGCTATAAAAACGAATGAAATTCTGCCATTTGCAACAACATGGATGGACCTTGAGAGAATAATATTAAGTGATACGAGTCAGGCAGAGAAAAAGAAATACCACATGTTCTCACTTATTGGTGGGAGCTAAAAATAAATAAATAAATTCACTCACACACAAAAAATAACTGGGGTGGGGGGGAAGAAGATATAACAACTACAATCCTTTGAAGTTGTTACAGCAAGCAAACGGAAAGGACATCGTTAGGTGGGAGGGGGGAGAGGGAGGAGGGAGGGAGGTTTCGGTGATGGACCATAATAATCAACCACATTGTATATCGACAAAATAAAAATTCAAAAAAATAAATAAATAAATAAATAAATGTAATTCTCTTAAGTTCTCTTTTGTCATTTACTAAGTGAAAGAAAGAGACTTGGGTGCAAAACTGGTGAGGGGTTAAAAGTAGGATGTTGTGGTCCAGGCTCTTGATGAAGCTGAGTCCCAAAAGGAAACAGATGGCACACTCAGAAGAGGAAAATTTGGGGTACTTTATATACAAAGAGACTATTTTCAAAGGTGCATGTGTTCAGGAATCTGTTTTTTGTTGGTTTTTTTTAACCTCTTTATTGAGGTATGATGACATAAAAAAGCTGTAGATATTTAATGTATACATTTGATGTGTTTAGAGATAGGTATATACCCATGAAGCCATCAGTCATTACTCAGTGCCGTAAACGTATCCATCACCTCCAAAGGTTTCTCCCATCCCCCCCGTTTTTCCTTTTGTGGTAAGAACACTTACCGTAAGATCTACCCTCTTACCAAATGTTTAAGTATACACCACAGTATTGTTAATCACAGCCCCTAGATTATACAGTAGATCTCCAGATCTTATTTATTTTGCATAACTGAAACTTTGTACCCTTTGACAAACACCTCCATTTCTCTCTCTCCTCAGCCGCTTGCAACCACCATTCCATTCTCTGCTTCTATGTGTTTGACTTTTCAAAGTTGCACATGTTAAGTGAGATCACGCAGTATTTGTTTTTTTGTGTCTGGTTTATTTCACTTAGCATAATGTACTACAGGTCATCCATGTTGTTGCAAATGGCAGGATTTACTTCTTTTTTAAGACTGAATTTGTATATTAGTTCTAACAGTTTTTTGGTAGGATCTATAGGGTTTCCTACATAGGAGATCATGTCATCTGCAAACAAATTTTTACCTCCTCTTTTCTGATTTTGATGCTTTTTATTTCGTTTCCTAATTGCTCTGGCTAAAACTTACAGTACAGTGCTTAATAGGAGAGGTGAGAGTAGGCATCCTTGCCTTGTTCTGGAATTTAGAGGAAAAGCCTTTCACCTTTGAGTATGATGTTAGCTATGGGATTTTCATAAATGGACTTTATTTTGTTGAGTTAAATTCTTCTATACCTAATTTGTTTGAAAAGGTGTTGAATTTTGTCAGGTACTTTTCCTGGATCTATCGAGATGACTATGATTTTTATCCTTATTCTATTAATGTGGTATAGCATATTTGTTGATTTGCATATGTTGAAACATTCTTGCATTCCAAAGATAAATCCTGCTTAGTCATGGTGTATGATTCTTTTTATGTGCTGTTGTATTTGGTTTGGTAGTATTTTGTTGAGGATTTTTACATTAGGGATATCGACTGTAGTTTTCTTTTCTTCTAGTGTTTTTATCTGGCTTTGGTATCAGAGTGATACCAAAGAATAAGTTCTATATTTTGGAAATTTTAATAAGGATTGGTATTAACTCTTGTTTAAATGTTTGCTAGAATTTTCCTATGGATCCGTCTCGTCCTGGGCTTTTCTTTGTTGGGAATTTTTTAATCATTCCTTCAGTCTCCTTATTTGTTATTGGTGTGTTCAAGCTTTCTATTTCTTCTTGATTCTGTCTTGGTAAGTTATATGTTTCTAGGAATTTGTCCATTTCTTCTAGGTTGTGTAATTGTTTGTAATAGTTTTTATGATACTTTTTATATTATAAAAAGTGGGGTCAGTTGTAATGTTTCTTCTTTCATTTCTGTTTTTGTCTTCTCTTTTTTCAGACTAGCCAAGGATTTGTTGATTTGGGTTTTTTTCCCCTAAAAAACAAACTCTTACTTTTATCAGCTTTTAAATTGTTTTTCAATTCCCTGTTTCATTTATTTCTGCTTTAATCTTTATTATTTCCTTTCTTCTGCCAATTTTGGGTTTAGCTGTTTTCTTTTTTTTCCTCCTAGTTTCTTGAGGTATAAAGTTAGATTGTTTGAGATCTTTTTTCTTTTTTAATGCATTTATCGCTGTAAACTTTCCTCTTATTCTGCTTTTGCTGCATCCCATAAGTTTTCTATGTTATGTTTTCGTTTTTGTTTGTCTTGATATTTTACAATTTCTGTGTTGATTTCTTTATTTGAGTGTTATTTAATTTCCATGTATTTGTGAATTTTCCATTTTCTTTGTATTATTGATTCTTAGTTTCATTTCACTGTGATAAAAAAATGATTTAATTTTCTTAAATTTGTATAGACTTGTATTGTGATCTATCTAGCATGTGATCTATCCTGGAGAATGTTTGATGTGCACTTGAGAAGAATGATTATTCTATTGCAGTTGAGTCTTATGTTTTGTATATCTGTGCTAGGTCCATTTGGTCTGTACTGTTGTTCACTTCTGCTATTTACTAATTTATTTTGCCTGGATAATCTATCCATTATAGAGAGCAGGGTACCAAAGCATCCAATTATTGTGTTGATATTTTCCCCTTCAGATCTGTCAATGTTTGCATTATCGTCTTAGATGCTTTGATGTTGGGTGCATATTTTTTATAAGTATTATATCTTTCTGTTGAACTGACATCATTATATAATACCTTCTTTGTCTTTTTTGACAGTTTTTGAGTTAATATCTAGTTTCTTTGTGTAACTATAGCCACCCCTGCTCTTTTGGTTACAATTTGCATGGAATACTTCTCAACCCCTTCACTTTCAGCCTATGTGTGTTGGGCTAAATCTAAGGTGAGTCTCTTGTAGACAGTATATAGATGGGGTTTTTTTGTTGGTTTTCTTTTTTTTTATCCATTCAGTGATTCTTTGTCTTTCAGTTGGGGAGTTTGGTCCATTTATATTTGAAGTAATTTTTAATAAGCAGGGATTTACTATTGCCATTTTGTTCATTGTCTCTGTTTTGTGTTTCTCTTGTTCCTGTCATCTTCCATTATATATATATTTTTTGTTACTATATTAGTCTGTTTCTGTTGCTTATAACAGTAATAACTGAAACTGGTAATTTATAAGAAAATTAACTTTATTACTCACAGTTTTGGAGGCTGGGAAGTCCAAAGTCCAGGGAACACATCTGGTGAGACCCTTGTTGGTGGGTAGTGACTCTTCACAGCAAAGCAGAGTGTCACATGGCAGATGGTGGAAATAGAGAGCTAACTCCTCACTCCTCCTTTTAAAGCCCTCGGAACCATGCCCATGACCACCATTAAACATCAGTGGAATAATCTATTTACTTGGGCATGGTCCTCATCATCTAATCACCTCTTCTTTTCTAGGTTCATCTCCTTTCTCTATAGTAGAACTTGCCAGTTTGCCACCATGGAGGATATAAGTCTGACTAACAGTCTTCTTGAAGCTGAGGCATAGGAGGAAACTATACTATTTAACATATATATTTTTCTTCAGTATTTTTGCCTCCCTGCACTTGTTCCATACTCTATGACTTGCCTAATGTTTCCAAATATAATGTCTCTTTGGTTCAGTTTTCTTAGAGTGGAAGACTCTTTTCTCATTCCAGGGAAGTAGAGAGGTAGTCGTCTAGCTGAGCAAGATATATCTTTGGAGGTATAAGCGATTACGGAAAGTGAACTAGGGTTTAGTCACTCCTTACATAGACTTTCAAATAATCATTCTTATTTCAGCCCCCCTGCCCTTATCCCTCTAATTTTCAGAGGTATCAGGTTCCCCTCATTTGTGAACATATCTTGCTTCTGTTGTTTCTTTTTTTCCAAATAAGCAGATGTAATTGGTCTGTCTCTGCTCTACTTGGTTCATTATCTCTCATCCATCTCTTTTTCATTTTCTAAAATTTTGTTGATACCTCATTTGTCATGTGGAATCCTCTCTAGTTTTCTTTTTCCTGGTTGGTGTATATGATTTTTACTTACTTACTTTGATTGTAGTGGTATTTAGGAAATGGAAATGAATGTAACATGCATTTAATTTGTCATATCTAACCAGGAGAACCCTGCATTTTTAAAAGCTCATCTATTTTTATTTTTAAGGAAGGCATCTGATTGGCAACTGTGTGAGATCAGAGCCCTGGGAATAATGACTAAATCTGTCCTAAGTTTCTTTGTCTCTGTTTTTTACTGATTGTATTATGTAGCCTCTGTATGCATACAAAGTAGTCATTGATGGAAGTTATTTCATTGTGATGTGTCTTCCCAAATGGTACTTGATTGTTCAAAATAAAGTATTTGGGAGAGAGTGTCATATGAGATACACTGTAAGAACATTGAATATAAGGCAAACTTATTTTTTATAAGGAAAAATATTGGGGGATGGGGTGAAACTTACCTTATATTCAGGAATTCATAGTAAATACAAGGGAGTACTTGACTAGTAGGAAGATAAGTTAAGGGAAAAAGAACTAGGGTAAGATAAACATGGTAAATGCCAATAGGAGATATGAATGAAACAGAATAGAGAAGCTTCAAAAAATATATGGACTTAACCCCTGTTTCATGGATTTTTATTTGTAGGTGAAATATTAGATTATTTCAAGAGTTGGAGCTGAATCTAATATTAAATAATGGCAACAGGTGACGTAAAAAGAAGCTTACGGAACCTAGAACAAGTGCTTCGCTTGCTAAATTATCCTAAAGAGGTGGATTGCGCAGGGTAAGCTATAATATCAAACTTAATTGTGTTCTTTTTGCTAGTGATTTGAGGTAATATTTGACATGGGGTGGGGGGGAGTACCTAACCAAAAATGCAGATTTTATCTAGGTCGTATTTAAATTTACTTTGAAATGATTAAAATATTTGAGTAATTAGGGAATTATAGTAGTTTTTTTCTAAGCATGAATTAATGAAAAATTCCAGCCCAAGATATTTAAAATACCATTTAGAAGTATAGTATATGTCAGCATAAGGTATGATTTCTGTATGGCTTTTAAGCTCATAGAAGAATAATGGATTTCATCAGTTATATAATCTACCACCCTCTCACATTCAGTTGGATGGTATTTCTTATTTTTAAATATATCCAGAATGAGCAGACATTGCTGCTGTTTCTTGTCAGTCTGTTTCTTTGTTTATTCCTTTTATGGAGGATATGTTTTATAAATTTAAGCCATGTGTTCTTTTTGATATGGAAGATTGTAATTAGTAGATTTCTCATGCCAAGCTATACTATGTTTGAAGATCGTTATTAAGATATTCCATTTAACAGACCCCACTTTAATCCTTTCAATTTAGCTTTCATTTTTCTTTCTTTTTAAAAAAATTTAATTAAGATAATTTATGGTTTAAAGAAAAACAAGATATTGAACAGTTTATAACATATTTAAAATAAAAACATGTATGGCAACAATAGTGCACAGATGATAGTAATAGAAATATACTTTTGTTAGAATTTTTCATTATCTGTAAGCAATAGAATATTTGAAGGTACACTGAGAAATTTATTATGAACATTGTAAACCTCAGAGCAGCCACTAAAATAACACAAAATTGAACAGCCAATAAGCCAAAGTGAAGATGGAAGGAAATATTAAAATTTCTCATTTAATCCAAAAAGAGTCTGAAGACTGGGAGAAAAACTTAGAACAATTATTAAGATGTTAGATGTAAATGTAACCTTATCAATAATTACATTAAATGTAAATTGTCCAGGAACTCCAATTAAAAGCCAGATTATCAAAATGGTTAGAGCAGGATGCACTATATCCTATCTATTATCAACCCACGTAAACATAAAGACAAATAGGTTAAACATAATAAAGTAGAAACGGATATGATTGCCAACCCACACAAAAGCTTGAGTTGTTATATTGATATCTAAAGAGTAGACTTCTGAACAACTAATAATACATGGATAAAATACCAATGATACCAAGAATAAAGAGGGCCTATTGTAATGGTAAAGGAGTAAGTTTTCAAAAAGATCTAACCATCCCAAGTCCATTTTTCAACTATGTCTTACTTGCTTTTGTAGAATATAGAAACATACATTTCTCCTGTATTCATGCCAATCTAATATGGTACTCTTGTCATTCTCTATCCCTTAATACTTTCATTTCTTTATAGCACTTATCCTTACCTCACTGATTGATTGATTAAATATTTCCCTTCAGCTTAAAAGAATGTAAACTGAAGTCTGTAACTTTGTTTTGTTCACTGCAGTATCCCCACATCTAGAATTGTTCTTGGCACATATTAAGAGGAGGTTAGACATTTATTGAATGAATGAGTGTCAAGGGACAAGTCCAGGTTAGGCCTATGTTCAAGTAGTAGAGCGAAACTTGGTTAAACCAACTAAGTAGAATACTTAAGTAAAGGGTTTTACAAATAAGAATGGATATTCTAATTGTATGCTAGGGAGAGCTAACCCCAAGAGAAGGCTGCAAAGGAAAGGACAGTGCGGAAAGTAAGGAGTTTATCTCTAATTACTATTATTTTAGACATTATATGTGGGAAGCAGAAGGTATGAAATAAATGTAATCCAACATGTGTACCAGTCATTTCGGTTCCTCAAAATAGGAAAATCTCATCTAGAACTTTCAGGGACTTAACCAGTTTGAGTAGCCAAGTTTTCTCCACCACTGTAAACATCAACATCTTAACACATTTTAGATAGGAATAATTCTAAAATATATGGATAGTCTCTTGTTTTCTGAGTACAGTGTTTAAACATTTAATTTTCTTATTGACCCAAGAGCATCATTAAGAACAGTAATTTTTAAATTAGTCTTTAACATATTAATATCTGAAGGGTCTATTGAGATAGATAATGCTACTTGCTTCTTCCATAGAGAGACTCAGATTGTTACCCTTTCCCTACCACACACACAAGTATACACACAACACCTCCCACTTATTTTGATTCTTTCTACTTTTTCACATTTTTAAATTTTTTCTTGCTATTTGCTGTTTTTTTGTGTTAATATGCCAAATTGTAATATCTGTTTTTCTTATTGTTTCTAATCTGCTAAGTCCTTAGAAATTACATAACCACAGTTTTGAGGCCTGGCTGTCATCTATTCGTAATGTGCATAAACTAAACAGATTTTACTATTTAGAGGTATTTTTTTCATTTCCTGTTTTTTGGACTGTATTCCAGATAGACAAGGTGGCCAGAGCAGTTTTCTCATTGGGTAAAATATTATTGTACCCATAAAAAAGCATCAAAGAGAAACAATTTATATTTGCCTTGAAAAACAAAATTCAATGTTATCATCATATATTTGTTCTCTGCCTTATTACAAATTTTGGTGGGGATAGGGAGATTTATGTACAAATCTTAAATTCCATGGAAAACATGTTTTATGTAAGTACAGTATTACTTCAGTTGAACAAATGTAAGTGGCTAATTGGACAATACCTCTTGTGCTTTGTTGTGGAAGAATCAGTGAAGGTACTTCACACTGAGAAAATAAGTAGACAATTAGAAAACACTACAAAACAGAGTGTGAGGTAATAGATACTGTATACCCTGGGAGTTATTCAGGGAGAGATCAGTATGGACCAGAAAGTTGAGGATGGCTTCATGGAAGACTTGAGACTTAATACACGATTCATAAAGAATGAATGACACCTGGATAGGCAGAGAAGAGTGGGATACCTTTCTATGCTGGAGGAATTAGTATAAGCTTAAGTATAAATTTTGAATGAGGGCTGGCCCTGTGGCTCACTCGGGAGAGTGCGGCTCTGGTAGCACTGAGGCCGCAGGTTCGGATCCTATATAGGGATGGCCGGTACGTTCACTGGCTGAGCATGGTGCGGACAGGGTTGCAATCCCCTTACCAGTCAGAAAAAAAAAAAAAATTTTTTTTTGAATGAGCTGTAAGTGGAATATTGCAAACTGCTCAGCCTAGTCACAGCCCTGTTTTTGTCATCTGTAACTTACAATTCATTAGATTTACCTTTGCAAGTTTGTGGTAGAGTGCAAATGAGGTAATGTAACAAGTGTTTGCAAAACCATAAAGTGTGCTTCAATACTGTAAGGCCGTACATATTTTTTATTAGTAGGAGAAAATGGAGTAGACTGAATTAAGACTAAGCTTTGAAAAAATCAGTATTTTCTATGGTAAATAGACTGTGGGTACTAGAGAGCTATAGTAAGATTTTGAGCAGATAAACAATAGTATTTCATAGTAGTCTGGCTAGACTGGTTTAGAGGAAGTGATGGAATCTAGAAGGTCTTGTGTATCATCTAATTATTATGGATATAGTGTTAAACTGCAAATTATTGACAACATTTCTAATATTTCCTTGATAATCCAACTTCGTAGAAGTCTTAAATTAAAAATCTTTTTCTTTTTTCCTTAACAGTTTGATAAAGGGAGATACAGCAGCATCTTTGCCCATCATCAGCTATTCTCTTACCTCATATTCACCTTATGTAACAGAACTTCTGATGGAATCCAATATAGAACTCATAGGAAAGAATGACTTACGCTTTATAGATGGTGTCTATAAGGTATTTTGAGTTTATGAAACTAATTATTTTAGAAGCTATTAAATGATTTTTTAAAATTTGAATTTCATTAATAAGTTCCTTAATATATGCAGCATGTATAGTTGACAGAATATTTTTATATACATTTATCTCATTTAAATGCAGACCCTTCTGGCTGGTTAGCTCAGTTGGTTAGAGTGTGGTGTTACAACACCAAGGTCAAGGGTTTGGATCCTGTACCAGCCAGCAGCCAAAAAAAAAAAAAATGCAGTCTCTTTTGAAATCAAAATGCAATTCAGGTTTGCTTTGCAAATGTTTACTACTTTAATAAATATGGCAACTGGTAAACATTTGTCATTGGCTATCATTTGCCCTTTTTGTATCAAATTTTAGTAAAATTTGGTATACTGTCAGAGGTTCGAGAGAAATGTGATTATATTTAGTGAAAGTTATAGTTAATTATGAGTTAATGTAGTTGTTTGTAAAAGGGAACTAAAACTTTGACAGAAGTATTATGTTCTTTGAAGTCTGAGACCATATCTTAGGTCTATCCTAGTATACTTGTACTGTATGTGTATAGAATTTAATCTCTTATTTATTTATTTATTCATATTTGATTTTTAAAATACCCTCCTTTTATCATTAATTTTTGCTCAAGTACTGTGGGTTTTTTAAGCATTGTTTTTAATGATGAAGCCCATTTATCAAATATAATCTTTTAAAAAATAAGTGGAGTTGCATTTGATGAAATGGGAGCTTTTATATACAGTCTCTGTTTAATCTTCCTGTTCTTTGCCTTTCATCCCAGAAAGCTTCTGTGGAAGCCTGAGAGAGATCTTGTAAGAAATTCTGGGTTTCCACAGAATAGAATTTGTAAACTACTGTTTTAATCTATTTCTGTCATTTTACAAATGAGAAATTGAAACTAAAAGGTCTACTGATTTGTCTAAAAATCACATAGTGGAAGAATTATAAACAAAAAGAGCTATGGTTTTCTGACATCTGATAGCTAGGGAGTTTTTCTAGTACGTACGAAGATATTTGAACTTTTTGATGATTGACTATATTTTTTCATCTCTCTGTGCAGCTGTCTTTTCTCTGGCACATCCTTAGCTACCTGTTTGCTACCTGGATACTTTTCTTACTTGCTCATGACTCACACCAGCCCTATAAATCTCTTTATTACCCTTTAGTTAATGGCTTGATCCTCTTTGTCCTCTCAAAGGTGAGAGGACATTACTTTCATTACTTACCTGACATAAATGGCTTCCTAGGCATTTATCATTTTGGATTTTAGAAATAAATTGTTCCTGATTATTATATCGATCCATTTTCTCTTTGCAGCTTCTTCGTGATCAATTTCATTATAAACCAATTTTGACGAAAAAGCAATTTATCCAATGTGGGTTTGCAGAATGGAAAATACAGATTGTTTGTGATGTTTTGAATTGTGTGATGAAAAAGCACAAGGAATTAAGTAGTCATGAGAAGGTAATTTTATGAGTAAATTTAATGCTAATTTATGCTAAGTGGCCCAGTATTTTAATGTATAAAGTCAGTACTTTAGACAGCAAATTATTGATTGCATAGTACAGTTATTATATTATTCACAGATTTAAGTAACCTTATAAAGCTTTATTTTTTAAAAATTTTTTGCCTTAAATACTAGTCATTTGTTTTTAAACATCTGTGACTTGGAACTGCTAGTCCTAAACTAACAGTTCAGACATAATACATTTTCATCACTTCTTAGTTTTTAAAAGACATGTAGTCTCATGTCTCATTATTTTGTTAGTTATATTTCATATATGAAAATCTAAATGATAATGGAATTTAAATATACATTATGTTTTCACACAAAATTTATTATGTCTAATACTTTCTTTTAGACCCCATCACAGCAAAGAAAGAAGATCAGCTGTGGTAAGTCAGAACCTTCTTCGAACAATGAGAAAATATCTGCAGAGGCTGTTGGCATTGACATCACTGGCAGGTTTATGACTTCAGGAAAGGTAAGAAAATACAAAGAAAATATGTCATATAGTTTAAGACTTATCTGTCTAATTAATTCAATATATAGGGTTCACTTTTCTGACTGACACCTGGTGAAAGATTCTAGTCAGATATTACTAGAGTGCAAGGGATATTTAACAGTGTATACCATTGTCTTGGGAACATTCCTAAAGTTATATCAGGATAGAAATATAAAATTGAACAGCTTTCTCTTTATGTTTCTTTTTTTTTTGTCTTTTTCCGTGTCCGGCAATGGATCGCAACCCTCAGTGTCGCCCCCGTACCGGACCGGGACCAGCAATGGGATCGCAACCCTCTGTGTTGCTCCCGCACCTCGCTCAGCCAGTGAGCGGGAACCGGTCTGCATGTGGGATCCGAACCCTCGGGCGGGAGCGCCACCGCGCTTCCCAAGCGGCGCACTATCCAGTGCGCCACCGGGCCGGCCCCTCTTTATGTTTCTTATTTCTACTTCTGCCTCATTTCCCATATAGAATAGTGGTGATTTAGAAAGATTATATTATGCAGTCATCTACATTTACTTTTAATTATGGATTTTTTTTTTCTTCCTAAAACATGGGAACATATGATGAGCCTACCATTAGTAATAGTGATAAGTTATGATGGTTCATTTACATATGTTCATTATTTCTTTAACCAGGAGTATGAATTATCTAATGACTGGTAGTCCCTAAACCTGGAATCTGGTTGTGGATTAGTGTTTTGAATATGTTCTCATTGTTGATAGATAATTCTTCGCCTTTGTCTGTTTTGAGCACCTGTAGCTAAATGAGTCCAATGTATTTTGAGATAACTCTATCTCCAAGGGAGATTTAAGCTAAAATATTATTTTATAATGATAAATATATACTTCTAGCTGTCTTCCATCTGAGAAAAACTCTGAGAATGAAGCATAGAATACCAGATGAACAATCAATATGTAATTAGATGATAAAAGATGTGATAGTGACTGACTGAAGTAAAATCTAGAGAATTATTTCTGCCCTAATCTAAAATATACCAGTTATATAAATATAATCTGTGGATACTTTTATACCTTTTGTTTTTAAGTGAAATTTTACTATGAAGAAAAGACTCTTAGGCCAATAACATTTTGTTTTTTAATGTGCCTATTTTGCTCTAGGTAATAAGGTCAGTACGAAAAATGAATTATAAAAAACATCATTTTTTAATCAGTGCCCATAGTTCTTGTCTACTAGAATCTCTAGCTTGTCTAACTCTTTTTAGCTATACATGGTCTTATTTTTTAACTGTTCAATGATTTATGTCTTGTATCTTTCTCCAACTAGAATATATATAAAACCACAGATTATCTTATACTTATTTTTTTACCTTCGTTGTGCTTAACACAGGATTAGGTACACTGTAAGCACTTATTGAGCATGAGTTGATATAACAAAAAGTACTTTTCAATCTTCTATTTCAGTATGGGGGTTGAAGGGTAATCTAAATTGCCCTAACAAAGAAAAATGCAAAATTTCAAGACATTAGACTTATTTTTAATTTTCTTTAACCAAGTTTTTTCTGTTATCCATCAAAATTGAGTGAATTACATCTGATCTTTTTTTTTTTTTTTTTTTTTTTTTTTTTTTTT